GAAGTCGGATTCCTGAGCAAGAGCTTGTGCCTTTGATTAGGGATGCGCTCGGTTTAGGGTTTAGGGTTTAGGGTTTAGGGTTTAGGGTCTTTGCACTGGAGGTGCAGCTTCAGGGAGCTCAGAGAGACTCCTTCAAGTTCTTAGCCTTCAACCCTTTAACTTTTATATAGGGTTTAGGGTTTAGGGTTTAGGGTTTAGGGTTTAGGGTTTAGGGTTTAGGGTTTAGAACCCTAAAGCCGTATCCCTTCAGAACCCCAAGCCCCTAAACCACCAGTTTCCTCAGAGCCAAGCATTCTTTAAGGAGACAGCCCTAAGGCTTGTAGCTTGACTACAATCTTTACACCGAAACACACCAATACTCTAGACCCCAGACCCCTACTACAACCCTCATAGAACCTTTATGCAGCCCCAAAACCGTGTAACTTTTACTAAGTTTTCTGCAACCCTTACAATAAAGAACCCTTCTTGAACCCATATACAACCCTTGCACTCGCCCTTAAGTTAACCCACGTCAGTATCCACGGCTCCAAAGTTTTGTCCGAGGATCATTTAGAAGGAACCCTTTACGGAACCTTTTGAGGAACCTTTTAAGGAACCTTTTAAGGAACCCTGTAAGGAACCTTTTAATGAACCTTATGAGGAGACCGATTGGACGGACCACAACTTCATTATGAAGGTCCCTCCTTCGCACCGCGTGCCGATAGGCCCGGCACCCAGAACAGCCCTGAGCCCTTGACTAAATCAAAGCATACCTAAGAATCATACAGCCCGGCTGCAACAAAAAACTGATCTACAGCCCAGGTGCATAATTAGATCGTACAGTACTTGGGATTCTCAGCGCCAAGGTCTCCAGTGTGCTCCTTCTTAAAACTGTATTTGGGAGGAAGGTATCTATTTGAACCATACTAGGACTGAGTCCTTTCTTACATGTTCCGGTACAGGCTCTATAAGGGAGATTGTAATTAAGGGTTATAGCGGTTCTTGAAGGGTTTTACAGGGGTCATTATAGGGTTACTACAAGGGCTACTACAATGCTTCTATACGGGTTCTTTAAGGGTCAGTATAGGACTGCTATAAGAACTGCCATAAGGTTTGTATAATGGTTCTATCAGGCCTTCTGTCAGGATTTCTTAGATTGAGTTATCGGGTGCTTTAAGCAACGTCTACATGGCAATGAATGATTCGGTCTCAGGCATCGGTTCAGGCGTGACAGTTCTACGGACATTTAGGCTTGTAAGTGGCTGTGCATCGTGCTGGTATTCTAGTCTTGTGGTGATATTCTGGACGTATCATCGCTATAATCGTGATGAGGACCACGACTGCCGTTATGACTGTATTGGTGCGGCATAAAGCAAGTGGATGACAGTGCCACGATGATGGCATGACGGCAGCAATGACGACATAATTCAACGTCTTCCTGCATGACAATTGTGACACCAGCGATACCGTCACATGCTGATGATCGTGAATTATTTCTGAATAGGATGTTGCAGGAAATCTGCAGTCATACTATGGTGGCCGGGTGGTGGTGATGGAGATGCGAAGGTCATGATGATGTTGATGATGGCGATGAGGATGCTGATAACTTCTGTGAACAGCAAAAAGTTACATGCATATCACAGTGCAAGAAGGTGCCAGGTGATGATGGTGAACACGAGGATTACGCACAGGAAGCGCCCTCTCCATCGGCAGAATGGCCCCTTTTCCGAGGTTGCAAACGGATCACAAAACATTGTTATTGGAACCGGCCGGTGAACATCCCTTAATCACCCTAAACCTCTTAACCTCTAAACTCTAGGCCCCTAAATCCTAAACTCTAAACCTCTACGCCCCAAACTCTAGGGTTTACGGTTTAGGGGCTTGGGGTTTCGTGTTCAGGCGTTTAGTGGATTGATAGATTACGTAGGGATTTGGCATTTAGGGTTTAGGGTTTGGTGACTCTCCAAAGCCGTAAAGCTTTGTCTGAAGGCGTGGACTACTGCAGGGGCCTTTGCATGAGCATCTGCAGCCTCTGCTCAAGACGACGGGCTGTGAGAGGGTTCCGGCTGCTCGGCAGTGAGCTTGCGATGTACGCAGCTCTTGGTTTGAGCTTTGATGGCTTCCTACTAAGGGTCCAAGTACCCATTATTTAAGGACTTTGGGGCCTTTTGGGGTACCTAAAGCCATAAATAAGGACTACTTGGACCCTTAGGCTCCATGTACCTTTATAGTAGATACTTAGGCCTTAAAGGGGTCCCTATGTAGGTACTTTAAGGCCTAAGTATCTACTATAAAGGTACATGGAGCCTTAGGGTTTCATGGCTTCAGCCGTGAGCAGATCTTCAACTCCTTTGCGGGTTTAGCTGCACCAGCTCTTCTCTGCGGTTTGAACTCGTAGCTCTAAGCCCTAGACCTTAAACCCTGGGTTTAGGGTTTAGGGTTTAGGGTTCAGGGCTTAGGGCTTAAACCCTGCGGCCTATGCCGAACCCCTGGGTTCTGACTACCTTTTATCAAATGCACCAAAGATCGCAAGATGAACAATAATACAGGAGGGCAATCTCGCTTCTAGGGTCTAGGATGAGGATAAGGGTAATACTTGGGTCTGAATAATTAGTATTACTATCACTCATGTACTTACACTGTAATAACCCTAAACCCTAAACCCATATACAGCCTGCTGCGACCCTGAGCTCCGAGCTATCGTGTCGTCCGTCGCTTGATCCGGGCTTAGGGTTCAGGGTTGGGATTTCCATGTCGCACAAGGGTTCCGCTCATCGAATCAGGGGTGTCTTCAACATCGCAACTAGCAGCAATCACCATTGCCAGTCATGTTTTCGTAAAAGATCAAGCGTGACAGCCACCTACATTCTCGTACGTTTGAAATGAAAGCATATCTCGGTCTCCCGGAAGTACCCTTACTCTCTATCTTCGGGTCTCCTTACAATCAACTGACTAGTAGGGAAGGTGTGCATCAAACTAGGCTTCATTTCCCTAAGCCCTAAACCCTAATTTGGAGATCTCCCAGAAATAAGGTGACAATTAGGAAAAGTCTACCTTTGCGCCCAAGGGGTTAACGGGGAATCCAGTCAGTGAGCCCTAAAATCTAAACTGAGGTGGTTAAGAACCAACGACGTTGGCGAGAGCATGTTTCTATATGTCTCCTTGCTTCTCGGCTATGTGGCAGCCGGGGTGCTTTACCTTTAACGTAGGGGATCACCCCGTAAACCCTAAACCCCTAAACCCACAAACCCCTAAACCCCTGAACTAAACCCCTAAACCTTAAACCCTGGCCCCTAAACTAAACCCCTAAACCCCTAAACCCCTGAACCCTAAACCCTGAACCTTCCGTTTGGCTTCTCTTCTGTCCCCGAAGTTTTGAAACGCCTGAGTAGAGAGAGCGAGCCCGCATGTGGAGTGAAGCTTTCGGGCTTTAGGCGCTCAGGGTTTAGGGTGGTTTAGGGCTTTAGGCGTTCAGGGTTTAGGGTGGTTTAGGGTTTTAGGGGTTTCGGGTTTTAGGTTTAGGGTGGTTTAGGGTTTTAGGGGTTTCGGGTTTTAGGTTTAGGGTGGTTTACAGTAGGGTTTGGGGTTTAGGGTGGTTCAGGGTTTAGGGTTTAGGGTGGCTTCGGAAGACATTCGCGAGCTGAAAAGCAAGACTGCTGTGCAGCATGGCTGGCATCAAAGGGGTTGTAATGCTTTGCATACTGACATAAAGGTTTCCTTGGGTTGTCTTCTGTAGGGTGTTGTAGGGTTTCTCAACCCGGGTGTTATATGGTTTGGGGGCCTAGTGGGCGTATCACAGGGCTCCTACGGGATATTGACATGTTCTGGCTTCTTGAATGATTTTCAACGCTTCGCCTCGTCCGCCTCGGCCCGGCCGTATGTTGGTAGGAGGACATGATGCCGGGTGTGTGTTTTTGTACTCCTGTGTACATGGAACTCTGGCTGAAGTACACAAGTCGCGGCAACTTGAGCAGTCAAGCTGTTCAAGCAGTCTGGAGATGGCGAGAAGTAGGTTTGATTTCGTGGTATTTTGATAGTATATTCATGTGGGACTGCATGGGGATACGAGGGCAGCTTCAGCCCTCATCCGAAGCCTCACTTGACACGAGACATATAATCTGCAACGCAGCGCACCAGAACCTGAAGAAGACTGCTGGATCGAGGCGCCGCAGGTATCAAACAAGGGAAGCGGAAGCCGAAACTCCCAACCCTAAACCCTAAACCACAGAGCTGGCAACCCGAATGTAGGCTTCGCAAGATCTTACTGTTTGCGCCCCGGATACTGAAGGAGTTAATAATGAGGTCTCTGAAAGCAGAGGCTTAGCCTTCAGCATTTCTTCACCCTTCGGTGTAGCGTGTCGACGAACTGCTAGAAAGCCCTGAAGCACAAACAGAACTTTAGGGATAAACACCCTAAGCCACCAAAAAGGCTTTGACACCACGGTAAACATATTTCTTGACCAAAAAAGGACCTCCCTAAACCCGAAACCCTATGCATCCCTATGCCCTAAACCCGTTGCAAATCCCTTATAGAACCCTGCAGGACACCTTTAGGACACCCTGTGAGGCAGCCTAAACCCTAAACCTTCCCAAACAAAACACCTCCCACCCTAAACCTTAAAATTAAACCCTTCCAAATCCGATCAAGAATCATTCTGAAAGGAACCCTTCAAAAGAACCCCAAACACTACACCCCAAACCCTAAACCCTAAACCCCAAAGCGCAAACTCTAAACTCCAAGCCCTAAACCCCTAAACCTAATCGCTTTCAGAGTAAGGATCGGCCTGCATTCCCTGCTGGCCGTGCGGAGTGGCCTCGCCGTCTCCACGTCATCGGCTTGGTGATGTAGGCTTCCGAAGGTTTCGCTAGGGCTCGAAGCGGCCGAAAGAAACTATGATAAGAAGAATGTCCCATTATAGTCCCGGTATAGTTTAGGGTTTAGGGCTTAGGGGTTAGGTATAATAAGATGCCCCCCAAACCACGTTTTGATTGTTCAGGCCCCTTTATTGATTTGGAATCAGGATCTTTGTGAGATTGAGGATGTGAGGATCGGAGCTTAGGTGTATGTTTATGACTGTACTAAGGCTTCTAGTTTCTTGGACATTGTATAAGGGGCTCTAAACGGTATTTAGTAGCTTGTGATATTATGGGCTTATAATAGGGTTCAAAAAACTTCTACATGGGTTTGGAGGTGAAGGATTCAGGACTTTAGTGCTTTCGGGTGTTGGGGTGTGTAGGGCTTGGAAAATTGTGGGTTAGCATCCTAATATCCCTGTCTTCGTGACTGTTCGGTTTCTGAGGTTTAGAATGACTGCCTTGACGTATTTTGAACCCGAAACCCCAAACTAAGCCCTGAACCACAAACCCGTTTAGGGTTAAGGCGGTTAAGGAGTGTGCAACCCCCTAAACCCTAAACCCT